GGCCTTTCGCACAAGTATTCTCCCGCGGAACACAATGAACTCCTGGGAACCCTTGGCTCCAACCTGTCATCAACACATCCGAGCTCATGTTGAAGTCGCCTACACAAACCCAGTCAAGCTTTAAAGCCGAGAGCAACAGCAAGTAGTGTTGCAGGTGGGCCTGAATGAACGCGTTCTCGTCATTGAGTCCGACCGAATCATGAAAATAAGCTGACACAACCACGATGCCATTGCGCACTCCCCAGTGAACATGAGCAGCACAAAGTCTTCCAGGCGCAATATCCTGGTCGAAGTAGGGCGCCGCAGTGACCGAGATGTGCGTCTTGGTGAGGATAGCCACGCCACCAGAGGTACCACCACCTTCAGACGGCACCGCAGCACTCCACACACCATGATAGCCGAGATCCTTCGCCTGATTTTGCAACGAACCCAGCCGAGACGAGATACCATGATGCTCCTGCACCGCGATGATGGAGCTGGGCGGGCCAGCTGCTAAAAACTTGATGAGAGGCCCGCCGCTCGAGACATTCGCCGTCGTGATGAAGCCCTTGACCACCCTCTCATCGCCACCGCACTCACCTGAATGTAAGAGTTGCGCAGGTGGCTGTCCTGACACATTTTTCGAAACTGCTAGGAGCTCCACAGGGGACGAGAGAAACGCCCGCGGCTGCTGGTACCCTCTGCCACCCGATGCCGCCGAAGGCGAGGGTGGTGAGCAGTGCATACAGCCGCTGGCGTCGGAAACCGAAGTAGACAAGCCGCATGTCGACCATGTCTCGCCAGTAGGAGGTAGCACATGTGGCGACCTCTGCTGAGCCTGCTTCGCAACAGGCCCAGTGAGTGCACCGCTCGACGCCGAGGACCCAGTCGCCCCCGAACTCCCAGCGCTGCATGCCGAACCCCCCGAGGTCGAGGTAGTAGGCAGAGACGAATTTGAGAACGTACCAGACATCATCATGGCAAACGACAATAAACATCGTAGCGCAAGCATGATTATCCAGCTATTAATACGGGCTCCAGGCCGTCGCGCCACTGAAGGCCTTCTTGGCCATCGCCCGCAACTCTTCAACTTCTGACGGTAGCTCTCCGACAAAGCCGACTGCCGAGAGACCTTCTCGCAACTTGTCTTCCTCCATCTCGTCAAAGTCAGGCTCCTTGATCTTCGGCCTCTTCTGGGACGGCTCGCCATCCGAACCAGTGGAACCCCCGCTCCCATCAGACACCTGAACAGGTACCACCAGTTTGTCCACCAGCGGGTTGGCCTTGACCGCAACGAGTAACTCTCCATGAATGCCAGCCGCCCCCAGCAAAGCGTCCAGCACCGACGTGTCGATCTGCCCACCAGCAGCAGGCTTAGCACCATCAGGAGGCTGCGGAGCAGATTTGCCCAGCTGCTGCAGCTGGCCCTCGAGCTCCACGATGACCACCCTCTGGGCTGCCGCCTTGGACTCAGCTTCTGCCGCATCTTTCTGCAATTGCGTAAGCTCAGCCGCCTTAGCCGACGCAACCTTCTCCAGCTTCTGCAACTTGGACGTCTCATTCTGCAGCTTAGTGGACAACTGCCGAATCTGCGCACATAGCGGTTGCTTGGAACGCCTCTTCTCCAGCAGCGCGTTCTTGGCCGCCAGCGCATCCGCAGCCACCTGCTCCATGCCTGGCACGCCGACACATGCCGCATGGATGCCCTCTTGAGCCCCAACCTGCAACATAATCTTCGCGTCCTCATCATCCTCCGACTTGCTCTGCTCGGCGAGCTGCACCCCAGGCTGCACCCCACTGGGGACTTTCTGGGCATTCTGCTTGCGAAGCTCGGCGACCTCCGCCTGCAGCCGAGCGAGCAACTTGGCCGTGTCCGATGCCGTTGCCCACGGAGGGGGGCGCTCAGGCTTGGGCTTGCGCACCGACGGGACCTTGGGCTCCACATTGCGAAGATAGCACGCTCCCTTGTGCATCCCACCACATCCGTCGATGACTCGCCCAGCACAGTACATCTTGTACCCTGGATTGACCCAAGGTTCACCAGAGCGCTGCACACAAAAGCGACACAGCCAATCCTGCTTCTCAGGCGGCGGGGCCATGGCAGCGACGGCTGGGGGGGGGGTCAGGTTGGAGGCTCGCGAACCCCTCGATCGAGGGACCTCCGTACACACAGTTAGCTGCCGCGGACTAGCGGTATCCGTTTTTGCCAATGCGGGCTCAGCCCGCCAAAGCATAAGTCTTGAGCCAAAATGGCTACGGAGGAGGAGGAGGAGGAGGAGGAGGAGGAGGAGGAGGAGAAAGAGGAGGGGGAGGGGGAGGAGGAGGAGGAGGAGGAGGAGGAGGAGGAGGAGGAGGAGGAGGAGGAGGGGTGGGAGGAGGAGAGGCTCGAGGCCGGGGGGGGGGGCAGGGACGCCGAGCGGTGGCAGCCCTGGGGCGTGCCGATCTCCGTCGGCGCGCCGCAGGGCCGGCCTCTCCGCCTCGGATCCGCGGGCGCCTCGGGGCTGCCAGCCCTGCCGCGCGCGCAGCGGCGTGCTGCGGGCCTGCCGTGGGCGCCTGCTCCGTCTGCCTGGGGCAGGGCTCCTCTCCCCAGACGTGATGGCGTCGTGCAAAAATCGGGACGGGCGGTTTTTCGCCGTTTCCGGCCCCTGGGGGCCCTCGCCGGGCCTCGGGGCCGTCCGCAAACGACTCGGGATGAAAAGCCGGCCCCGGGGAAAGGGTCGGGACTTCCGGGGACGCCGCCCTGAAGAAATCAGGACGTCGCATGTCTGGGACTCCGTCTGCCTGGGCAGGGCTCATCTCGGCTCCTCCGGTGCGATTCGCTTCGACTTCGGTCCTTCCCGCTTCCGATCCGATGCGACTTCGGCTTCCGACGTGTCCGAGTTATTCATCCCAGACCCCCGACGTAATGATTTTTTCATTACGTCGACCCCCAGAGGCCACGACCCTTTCCCCATGACCGGCTTTGCATCCTGAGTCGTTTTTTGACGCTCCCGAGGCCCGGTGAGGGCCCCAGGAGGCCGAAAATTAGGAAAAAACTCCCGTCATGATTTTTTCATTACTCGAGGGGGTCTGGGATCATGGAGGCTTCCTAGGCTGCCGATTTCCGCCGATTCGACTCTTCCCGACTCGGCTGCCGCTTTCCGCCGGTCCGCTTCATGTCGATCGCGGATATCCGACTTGTCGACTCGAGGCTGGGCTCTCGCCTGCCTGGGCGCGCTCAGCGCGGCGGCGGACACGGACCCAGAGATCCGACGTCGTGATTTTTTCCATACCCAGACATGATGGCGTCGTAAAAAAATCAGGACGGGAGGTTTTTCGCTATTTTCGGCCCCGGGGGGCCCTCGCCGGGCCTCGGGACCGTCAAAAAACGACTCAGGACGAAAAACCGGCCCCAGGGAAAGGGTCGGGACTTGCGGGGACGCCGTCCTGAAAAAATCAGGACGTCGCATGTCTGGGTACGGGGACCCCGGAAGTCTCGACCCATTCCCCAGGACCGGCTTGTCGTCCTGAGTCGATGTTTGACGCTCCCGAGGCCCGGCGAGGGCCTCTTGGAGGCCGACAACGGTGAAAAACCTCCGCCTTGATTTTTTCAATGCGCTGGATCTCTGGGGACGGCTCCTCCGAGGAGGGAGAGGTTGCCCATCCAGTCTGGGTGCCTTCCCAGAGATCCAGCGCATTGAAAAGTCAAGACGGAGGTTCTCCGCCGTTCTCGGCCTCCAGAGGCCCTCGCCCGGCCCCGGGAGCGCCAAAAAACGAAGCAGGATGAAAAACCGGTCCTCCCTGACTCCTGATCCGCCCTACTTTGGGCGATTTCGAAAGTAGGGCGGAAATTTCCGCCCTACTTTTGAGGCCCCTTGGAGCGTCGATTTCCGCCCTTGAGGCTCCTTTGGCGTCGATTTCCGACACAATTTTAGGTCGGAAAATCATCCAAAGTACGGCGGATCAGGAGCCAGGGATTCCCCAGGACCGGCTTGTCGTCCTGAGTCGATGTTTGACGCTCCCGAGGCCCGGCGAGGGCCTCTGGAGGCCGACAACGGTGAAAAACCTCCGTCTTGATTTTTTCAATGCGCTGGATCTCTGGGGACGGCTCCTCCGAGGAGGGAGAGAGGTTGCCCATCCAGTCTGGGTGCCCTCCCAGAGATCCCGCGCATTGAAAAGTCAAGACGGAGGTTCTCCGCCGTTCTCGGCCTCTGGAGGCCCTCGCCCGGCCCCGGGAGCGCCAAAAATCAGGAGGGAAAAAAACACACAGACACAATTAATCCTCGATTCCCGAGAAAATATTGGAAAATATGGGAAGTGGGGGGGAAGACAAAAACTAAAAAAATATGGGAAAATATGGGGAATCATTTTATTTGTGTGTATTTATTTGTGTGTCCTGGGGCCCCTTCAAGGATGAAAAACCGGTCCTGGGGATGGGTCGAGACCTCCGGCAGGAGAGCCCAGAGTCGAATCGACAAGTCGGATCGGCGATCAAAAAATCAGTGGGATCGGCGAGGATCGGCAGCCGAACCGGGAAAAGTCGAATCAGCAGAAATCGGCAGTTAAGTATCAGGAGGGGAAAAAACACACAGACACAATTAATCGTCGATTCCCAGAAAATATGGGAAAATATGAGAAGTGGGGGGGAAGACAAAAACCGAGAAAATATAGGAAAATATGGGGAATCTTTTTATTTGTGTGTATTTATTTGTGTGTCCCAGTTTCCCTTCAAAGTAGGCCTCCAGTCAGATATCGGAACCCAAATCGGAATCCGAAGTCGAATCGAGTCGGAATCGGAAGCCACCGAAGTCGAATCGAATCGAGTCGGGGAAATCGAAACGAGTCCTGCCTCTGGGGGCCCAGCATCGAAACAATCACGGCGTCGGATCTCTGGGTTTCCCCCTTTTGGAGCTTCCTGGGCGGCCCTCGTTGCCACCGCTGGATTCGCTTCGAGTTCGCAGTCCGAGCGCACCCCCGGGAGAGGCCCCGGGGATAGCGGTCTCGGTGCCGCTCTGGTTTCCCCAGCTCCTGGCGGCGCGGAGGAGCTCCTGCCAGGCGTGGCCACCTCGCCCGAGAACAGGCCGAAGCTGATGAAGATGATGGAGGAGCCGGCGATCGGCGGCGAGTGAGGGGGGCAGCGATGCACCCCCTCGGGGAGTCCCACCTGCGCCAAGCTCCAGCACAGCTGCCAGCGCAGAAGTGTATAGACTGCGCAGGGGCCCCGGGAAGCCACGGCTTTAAAATATCATTCAAGCAGTGGCGAAAGCGTCCTGGCTCTCCGATAGCCCTACCAAACAATGTTCTACGAACCTTTTGTGGTTCCCACGAAATGTTCTTAGAACATTTCTGGTGGAGTCTTTCTTGGTTTAACGCAGCGGGTTTATGTTCTAAGAACATAGTTTTTGTTCTTAGAGCATTCTGGGGTTCTAAGAACATTTCGTGGTAGGACTATGGGAATGCCGGGACGATCGGTTCCTGCTCAAATCATCGGCAAGACCACCCGTGCGCCGAGCGGGTCCAGCGGTCTCTCAGAGCCCCGAATCATCAGGGGTAACTCGGGTCAGGGCTAACTCGGGTTCCTTTTTCGGGAATCCAAACCCGAGCTACCCCGGACCCGAGTTACCCCGGATAACTCGGGCGCCCAAGTCTCTCCCGCCTCGAGGAGTCTAGCGCCTCCTCCGCAGCTGCTGAGGAGGACGGCCGGAGAGATCGCCTGGGAAGGCAGAGGCCTTCTCGGAAGGCGGCGGGGCTTCTCGGAGGCCCTCGGGCCTTCTGAAAAAGGTTCTCCTCCCTCTTCGGGGACCCTGACTCCTGATCCGCCCTACTTTGGGCGATTTCGAAAGTAGGGCGGAAATTTCCGCCCTACTTTTGAGGCCCCTTTGAGCGTCGATTTCCGCCCTTGAGGCTCCTTTGGCGTCGATTTCCGACACAATTTTAGGTCGGAAAATCATCCAAAGTACGGCGGATCAGGAGCCAGGGGAAGGCTTCGAAAAACTTGTCAGACGGAGTCGACGAGTATTCAACTGCATGGACATGACGACGATGGTTAGACTCACGAAAGCGCGCGCGTGGCGACGGCAAAGCAAAAAGGGGGGCCCCACCTTCAAGCTACCCCCCCCCCTTCTTTGCCAAAGGGGGGGGCTCCAGAAGCCCCCCCCCCCTCCATCCCTCCTTTTTGGTACTGGAAAGGGGGGTGGCTTCGAAGCTACCCCCTCCTCCCTCTTTTTTTGTCGGCGCCCGAGGTAAGCCTGGGCTCCCCTTTGCCAAGGGGTGGGGCTTCGGAAGCCCCCCCCCCCATCCTTCCTTTTCTGGTGATGGAATTGGGGGCCCTGACTCCTGATCCGCCCTACTTTGGGCGATTTCGAAAGTAGGGCGGAAATTTCCGCCCTACTTTTGAGGCCCCTCTGAGCGTCGATTTCCGCCCTTGAGGCTCCTTTGGCGTCGATTTCCGACACAATTTTAGGTCGGAAAATCATCCAAAGTACGGCGGATCAGGAGCCAGGGGGGGGAGCTTCGAATCTCTCCCCCTCCCACCTTTTCTGGAGCCCGAGGTCAGCCGGGGCTCCCCAGGAGGGGGGGGTAGCACACAACAACGGGGTCAAAAGGGGGGAGGGTGCTAAGCACCCCCCCCTATCATTAAGGGGGGGGGGGGCAAGGAGGGGGGGGGTGATTAGCTTCCAACAACGGGGCCAGAGGGGGGGAGGGTGCTAAGCACCCCCCCTCTATCATGAAGGGGGTGGGGGGCAAGGAGGGGGGGAGGGGCCCTGGGGGGGCAGCTTCCAGGGCCGGAAGAAAAGGGGTGGGTGGGCAGCTTCCAACAACGGGGCCAAAAGGGGGGGGTGCTAAGCCCCCCCTCCATCATGAAGGGGGGGGGGGGCTTCCGGGCGGGGTGGGCAAGGAGGGGGGGAGGGGCCGGGGGGGGTAGCTTACAGGGCCGGGAGAAAAGGGGGGGAGGGGGGGCTTGCAACAAGGGTGCCTAGAGAGAGCGGGGGGGCAGCTGAAATCAAACCCCCTCCCTTTGCTCGGTTGCTGTGGGCGCGCTCTCTCGAACTTACGATGATGGTGTCGATGGTCATGGTGACGACGACGACGACGACGACGACGACGACGACGTTGATGATGCTGATGATAATGATTATGATGGTGGTGGTGATGATGGTGATGATGGTAATGATGATGATGATGATGATGATGATGATGATGATGATGATGATGATGATGATGATGATGATGATGATGATGATGGTGATGATGCTGATGCTGATGCTGATGCTGATGCTGCTGCTGATGATGAAGACGGTGACCCTGATCAGGACGATGATGGCGGTGGTGATGATGACGATGACGATGACGATGACGATGACGATGCTGATAATGAGGACGACGATGATGATGACGATGATGAGGATGAGGATGATTACGAGGATGATGATGAGGATGAGTATGAAGATGAGAACTAGGATGATGATACTGATTATGAAGATGATGATGGACATGACGATCATGATGACCATGGTGCTCATGATCATGATGAGGATGACGATGACAACGATGATGTTGATGATGATGTGGATGGTGGTGATGATGATGCTGATGATGATCAGGAAGATAAATCCGATGCTGATGATGATGATCCTGACGATGACGATGATGATGGTGATCATGACGATGGTGATGATGATGATGATGATGATGATGATGATGATGATGATGATGATGATGATGATGATGATGATGATGATGATGATGACGAGGTTGATTATGATGATGTTCATGATGTTCATGATGTTGTTGATGATGATGATGAGGAGGAGGAGGAGGAGGAGGAGGAGGAGGAGGAGGACCAGCAGCAGCTTCGGAGCTCCGCTCAGATTTCTTAAATCGACGCCGGCCCCTCCTAGCGGCGCCTCCGGCGCCGCCCCTGGCGCGCTGCGCGCGACAGGGAGGGGGGAGTCTAGCGTGGATCCAAGAAATCCGCGCTGGCGTTTATGCAGATGTTTCTTCTTCTAAGGAGGCCCAGGGAGGCAGGGGCAGCTTCGACGAGGGCGACCTCGCAGAGAGCGCGGACAGCAAGAGGTTCAACTCGGAGAAGATAGCGCTAAACTTCACGCAGTTCCTGAAGCTTCTCTCGCTGGTTCGCGTCTTCAAGCTCGGACAACAGTATGCTGAGGAGCAGAGGGTCATCGACGTCTGCGACCTTACCATCCAGGAGGTCCAGCAGTTCCGCGAGCTGTTTCTGGAGAGTGCCTCTGGTGACGGGTGTATGACGATGAAGGACTTGTGGCTTCTCTTCCGGAACATATGCCCCCTCGGCGACAGAAACAAGGCAGCGGGTGTTGACAGGGAGGGAGGAGGAGGAGGAGGAGGAGGAGGAGGAGGAGGAGGAGAGGAGGAGGAGGAGGAGGAGGAGGGGATGATGATGATCAGGAGAGGAGGAGGATGGAGGAGGAGGAGGAGGAGGAAGAGGAGGAAGCGAGGAGGAGGAGGAGGAGGAGGAGGAGGAGGAATAGGAGGAGGAGGGAGGAGGAGGAGGAGGAGGAGGAGGAGAGGAGGAGGGGAGGAGGAGGCTGAGGAGGAGGAGGAGGAGGAGGAGGAGGAGGGGGAGGAGGAGGAGGAGGAAGAGGAGAACGAGGAGGAGGAGGAGGAGGAGCGGTGGGGATGAGGATATTCAGGAGGAGGAGGAGAAGAAGAGGAGGAGGAGGAGGAGGAGGAATAGGAGGAGGAGGAGGCGGAGGAGGAGGAGGAGGGAGGGGTTGGCCCTGGCCTGGGGGTGGTCCCAGCTCCCCGACCCATCCTGGGGCCCCTGAGGGCCCCTGAGGGTCCTGAGGGCCTCGTGTGTGTGTGTGTGTGTGTGTGTTGTGTGTGTGTGTGTGTGTGTGGGTGTGGTGTGTGTGTGTGTGTTTGTGTGTGTGTGTGTGGTGGGGGGAGGGGGGGGGTAGGTGGGTGGGGGGGGAGGGGACGGTGGTCTTGAGGCCCTTGGGGCCTGGAGGAGGAGGAGGAGGAGGAGGAGGAGGGAGGAGGAGGAAGAGGAGGAGGAGGAGGAGGAGGAGGAGGGAGGAGGAGGAGGAGAAGGAAGAACAATAAGAAAAGAAGAGGAGGAGGAGGAGGAGGAGGGTGGAGGAGGGCGGGGGGAAGGTGGAGGAGCAGGAGCAGGAGGGGGAGGAGGAGAAGGAGGAGGAGGATGAGGAGGAATAATAGGAAGAATATGAGGAAGAGGAGGGTGAATAGGAGGAACAGGAGGAATAGGAGGAATAGGAGGAGTAGGAGGAGGAGGAGGAGAAGAGGAGGAGGAGGATGAAGAAGAGGACCAGTGTAAACCCAAGGGTCATCACCGATGGTGGAATCAACCCTCCTTCCAAGCTCCCTCGCCATAGGCCCCAACAATGGTTTATCTCCGTTGAAGGGATTGCTTTTTTGAAGACAACCGTTTGAAGACCCTGACGCATGCCAAAACATTGTTCTCGGGATTCAACGCCACTGTTTAACCTGACTGTTGCGCCTTGACAATCCTGAATCGTGCCAGAACGCCAGTTTGGGTACTACAACACAGGGAATCAATCCAACTGCTGCACCCGCGTAATCCTGACCCCGTTCAAAACACCATTTCTGGCACGTAGATGAATGGAAATCCATGAAACCCTTGCAATGGTTTAAAGCGAGTGTTCTACGCGCTAAGGCGAGAGCCATATTTTGAAAAGGAACCGCCGTTAACCCGTGAAACTCTTGCAAGTGCGTTAGAAGAATGTGCGCCGCGCTGAGGCGAGAGCCACATGTTGAATGCCACCCGCCCTCAATCCGTGAAGCTCTTCTCTTCCACATGTTTGAAACGAGTGTCCGCCGCGCTAAGGAGAGAGCCACATGTTGAAAACCACCCGCTCTCGACCCGTGAAATTCGTGTATTTTTTTAAAAGAAAAAACGAATGTGCGCCGCCTCATGGAGGCAGCCACATGTTGAAAGCCACCCGCCTTCAAAGTGCGAAACTCTTCCAACTGTTTAATAAGAATGTGCGCCGCGCTACGGCGAGAACCACATTTTGAAAACCGCCCGCCCTCAATCCGTGAAACTCTTGCAAATGTTCAAAAAGAATGTGCGCCGCGCTGAGGCGAGAACCGCATTTTGAAAACGACCCGCCCTCAATCCGTGCAGCTCTTGGATTGTGTTGAACGAACGTGCGCCGCGCTACGGCGAGAGCCACATGTTGAAAACGGCCCGCGCTCCATCTGCGAAGCTGTTGCCACTGTTTAAGCTTCAGAGTCATGAGTGTTGATCAAGTCTCAGGCGAAACGCCCGGCCCGCCCTAAAAACTGGCCCCGGGGTACGACAGGGAGAAATTGTTTACAAGGAAAAGGACTGGAGGAGGAGAAGGAGGAGGAATAGGAGGAGGAGGAGGAGGAGAAGGAGGAGGAGGAGGAGGAGGACGACGAGAAGGAGGAGGAATATGAGAAGAGGAGGAAGGATGAGGAGAGGAGGAGAGGAGAGGGAGGGAGGAATATGAGTAGGAGAAGGAGTAGGAGGAGAGGATGAAGAGGAGGAGGAGAGAAGGAGGGATAGGCGGGAGGAGGAGGAGGAGTAGGAGAGGAGGGGAGAGGATGAGGAGGAGGAGGAGGAGCGGAGGTGAGAGGGGGAGGAGGAGGAGGGAGGAGGAGGGAGGAGAGAGGAGGAGGAGGATGAGGGGAGGAGGAGGAAGAGGAAAGAGGAGGAGGCCGGAGGAGGAGGAGAAGTGGAGGGGGAGGAGGAGAAGGAGGAGAGGAGGGGGAGGAGAATATGAGGAGGAGGAGGAAGGAGGAATATGGGGGAGGAGGAAGAGGAGAGGAGGAGGAGGAGGAGGAATATGGGGAGGAGGATGAGGAGGAGGAGGAGGAGGCGGCGGAGGTGAGGAGGAGGAGGAGGTTGCCTGGCCTGGGGTGGTCCCAGCTCGCCGACCCATCCTGGGGCCATAGGGCACATGAGGGCCTCGTGGGGCGGGGGGGGGCGGTGAAAAAAATGTCTTGAGGCCCTTGGGCCTGGAGGAGACGGGGGAGGAGGAGGGAGAGGAGGAGGGGGAGGAGAGGGATAGAGTAGGAGTAGGAGTAGTAGTAGGAGTAGGATAGGCAGGGCGGGGCAGGAGCAGGAGTAAGGAGTACTGAGGCGAAGGAAGGAGGAGGAGAGGAGAGAGAGGAAGAGGAGGAGAGGAGGCGAGTGAGGAGAAGAAGGATGTTGGAGGGCGGGGGGAAGTGGCGGAGGTTGGGGGAAGGAAGTCGGACGAGGGAAGAGAATAGAGGGGAAGTTCAGAAGAGAGGAGGGAGAGCAGCAAGAGGAGGAGGAGGAGGAGGAGTAGGGGAGACATGAGTAGGAGGAGGAGAGGAGGCGCAGGAGGAGGAGGAGGAGGAGGAGGAGGAGCAGCAGGAGCAGGAGTAGGAGTAGGAGTAGGGGCAGGAGTAGGAGTAGGAGTAGAGTAGGAGTAGAGTAGGAGTAGAGTAGGAGGAGGAGGAGGAGGAGGAGGAGGAGGAGGAGGAGGAGGAGGAGGAGGAGGAGGAGGATTTTCCAGTGCGCCGCTGCCAGCCAACCTCCAGAGTGCAAAAGATGCAGGGGTTGCCTGGCAGGGAAAAGGAGTTACGCCATCCAGCTCGAGGAGGTCTTAGACGGCGGGAGGCCCTTGCAAACCCGCTGCAACACCTCGAGCTGGTGTTTTGTGATGGCGTGCGGTCCCAGTGCGGCCACGGTACAAGGCTCCCGCAAGGAGCCAGGGCGAGCTACTGCCCACGAGCCGCATTCACCGCAAAATGTGAAGGCACCCTTATGCCACAAAACGGGTGACGGGTGGGTCGCCTTGCCCGCGACCCAAGGCGCAACACGCTAGGGGGGCGGGTCGAGCCTCAGGCGACGCCATAGGGCATCACCCCTGGCGGCCACGGCCCGACCTGGCCTCGCCCACTTCTTCGCAGTGACCTCCCCCGCCACCACCGACTCCGAACCCCCAACTCCACCTCCTCCACAAGCAGAGCAAGCCGAGCGGAGCCTCGCACGGAGCGGGGGGGCAGCATCGGAGATCGAAGCCTTGCACATCCCACAAGCCCAAACGCCAGAACCGAATTCACAAACGTGCGACGAACCCCTCACATCAGCTTCGATCCACCGACGCCTGCGGAGCACAAGATCAATGGGCTGCTTGCGCAGCCTGCGCTCAGGCTCGGCCTTGGGGGCAGCACACTCGAGAATGAGAGAGGCGTTACGTTTGAGGACGGCACAATCATTGCCGACAAGCTCATTATAAGCCTGGACAACTCCATTCGGAACCTGGCATTCCCGAGCACGCAATTCAGCAAGCTCATCTGCGACAGAGTTGAGCACTACCTGGTCCCAGTCTACAGAGTCGCCAAAACGGGCGAGCTTTTGGGGATCCTCCAACAGGTGACTGGGAACATGAAAAAGCTGGAAGTCCCCAGGTCGCCCCGAGAGGAGCTGCCAGAATTCCCGCCAGAGATCAAAATTTGCCAGCCTCGCAGAGGCAGCACGGCCAACCAGGAAACCTTTGACAACATTGGCATGGTCGGTGACCACGCGCAGAGCTTGGGCAGGGTCAACGTAACGAAGGCACTCAACAACGGCCGCAAGCTCTGCGCGGGGAACCGTCTGTCGAACCGAGTCGAGTACACCTGTGACTCCACAATCCCAATCAAAATCTTCGCTAGGACGGAGCCGCACAAAGGCAAAGGCAACTCGTCGGAGGACAGGAAACTTGGCAAACTGCCCTCCCGTGCCATCAGTGGCATAGAGGCCTCCTGGCAGACAGCCTGGAAACAAGGCCCGAGGACAAACCAGGAAAGGGGAATAAGTCCACGCATCCAGAAACACAGATACTGGAGAGCCTCCTGCTGGGCACCGTGCCTAAGGTGTTGAGAGTCAACAATGTCTTGGACCTGCGATGAAGCATTACACATGCACTCCCAAAACTTGTGGCAGGAGGTCTCGGGGTCACGCAGGCAACGCCTACAAATGGGATCAGGAGCCATCTGGGCCTTGTGCCTACTCTCCTCGGTCCAATCGCCTCCAGAGACCAAGAGCCGAATCATAGCCGCGAGGTCCCGACGCCCATCCTTCTCGAGGGAGGCAACAAGGTCCCAGACATGGTGAAGAGAGACAGGCCCCTGGATTCCAGCGCCATCTAGGTGCTCGGAAGCCTGGCGCCACTGCAGGGTGTCGATGGAATCGTCAAAGGCCTCGAGAAGAGGGCCTAGCGGGCCATGCCCGTCCTCCATCATCTGCCACTCGTCACCACAAGGCGCGATGAGAGTGAAAGGTGAGGGGCACTGCCATCCTACCGCCAACATCGTGACTTGAAAAGC